TATATTTTTAAAATAATTTTTTATTATTAATTTTAATGAAAATTTACAGACTTTGGATTTCCATTCATTCATTGTTGCACTTTTCTCCCTGCCCACTCCTCCCCCACAAAGCATATTGTTTAATGGTTGAGATCACACAGTAATTTTTTTGATCTGCTATTTTCAGTTAAACATTAATTTTTAAATTGTAAGCACTGAGCTGATTGGCAGCATCATGATAGATGGTGAAGAGACTGAGATTGTTAACAGCTTCAGCTTGCTTGGCTCTACAATCAATACTCTTGGTACCAGCAGCCAGGAAATTAAAAGACAAATTGCACTGGGAAAGTCTACTGTTAGAGACCTCTCCAAAGTACTGAAGAGCAACAATGTCAGTCAGGAGACTAAGGTGCTCCTGATCTATGCTGTGGTCTTTGCAATTATTTGCTATGCATCGAAAGCTGGACAATAACTAGGGATGATAGGAGGAGAGTTGATGCCTTTGAGCTGTGGTGCTAGAGAAGAGTATTGAATATACCATGGACTGCTAGGAAAACAAACAGGTTCATCCTGGAGAGGGTGAAGCCAGGTCGTTCCTTGGAGTTAAGGATTCCGAAGCTTCATCTGACATACTTTGGACATGTTACAAGGCAGCATCAGTCCTTGGAGAGGGATATCATGCTTGGGAGGGTGGAGGGATAGCACAGGAGAGGAAGACCCTCTAGAAGATGGATTGATTCAATGACTGGGGTAGGTGTGTCAGAGACAATAAGATTGGAACGGAATAGAGCAGATTTAATAGCTGTTGTACCTGGGGTTACTGAATCCCAAGCGACTCGAAAGCACATAACAACAACAACAAGCAAGACAACTGGCTCACTTACGTTTGATTTGCATGTGGCATCTCTGCACACTGAAGAGTTCTGTGGCATGGGACTGGTTCCTAGCTTCAGCACAATGTTTTATGCAGCAGAAGGTATAAATGATTTGTGCTGTTACACGTGATGATTAACAGGCCAGTCAAAAGTTTGCTATTTCAGCTCTGTGCTTGACCTATTATTAAAGTAAAGGGAGTGATGCCTATCAAAGCTAGAACACTCAGTAATCAGAAATCGCAAAGAGCTGGTGAAACAGCCTCAAGTTTTAAGTAGATTTTCATAGGGACAGAAATTTGTCACAGGAATGTAATTGTTTTAGTGTATATAATTCGCATTCTTAAGTGGTATACCTAAATTCAATCAATAAGAAACAAGAATGATTTCATTCTTTTATTCCGTTTCAATTTAAAAGTACCATGACATATTATATATACTTGTTTAAAATTTATGTCTCACAAATCCAAATGTTAACAAATACCAGCAACTGTTGCTGTTGTTATTAAGTGCTATGAGTTGTAGGAGATATAGCAACCAGATATGCATAGGAATCAGATTGATTACATCTGTGGAAAGAACCGCTGAAGAAGCTTAATATCAGCTGTGAAAACTAGGCCAGGAGTTGATTGTGGAACAGATCACCAACTACTCATATGCAAGTTCAAGCTGAAGCTGAGGAAAATTAAATCAGATCCACGGGAACCAAAAATGACTTTGAGTTCATCCCACCTGAATTTCAGAACCATCTCAGGAACAGGTTTGAGGCCTTGAACACTAATGAGCGAAGA